AAAGATAGTTTTCTAAGAAGGCTAGTGCAGCACTGGAACAGGATATACAAAGAGACTGTTCAGCCTCTGACTTTGGAGGTTTTCAAAATCTGGCTACCAAAGCCATGACTGACCTAATCTAGAGTTGGTGGTAGTCGGGCTTTGAGCAGGAGATCATGCAAGAGGCCTTCAGAGATCCCTTCCAACCCCCATGTTGACAGTCTGGAACTATTTCCTTTCAGTTTAAGGATTTCTGATTAAAAGTTTGTTTGATTCATTCTTGCAATCCAAAGTTCCCAAAATACTGCTGCTTGCTTTTAGGAAATTGTAGCACTTTCTTAGTCTCTTGCTCCTGAAACCCTCCCGTCTTTTGAGTAGCATTTTCCATTCAAAAAGACATCCCTAGATTGTAGCAGGTGGCACTCTTGGCAGGTTACTGAATTCTTTATCATTTTAGCATATTACTAAAAAACTTTTTTTTTTTTTGTAATTGTCAGTGCTCTCCAATGTACATATTATAGAGATAGCTAAAAGAGCACAGATTGGATCTGAGATTCTGTATGAAGTTAGTCTGGACTATTTCATTTTAGCTTAAAGGTTGTATTCCTTTACTAATAGAATATTCAGCCTTTAATGCCACAGGAGTAGGAAAGTTAAATGACTAGTGGTTCCAATTCTGCAAAAGCATTAGGAAACCTGTAACATTTATCAGGTGCTAACACATGACGTTTCAGATCTGTGATTTAAAATAAATTTGATATATAATCCCTGAGATACCAGAGCAACAAGGTTCGATAAAGTTTCTCTGTAATGCACTTAAGAAGGCTAAATTAAAACAGCTGAGGTCAGTGAGCTTAATAAAAACTACTTGGCACTAAAACAATTTACCTGTGACTAACAACAATATTCCCCTTTTTTTTAGTCCCAAAATTAAATAGAGGAAATGCTGTGCTTTTATGGAACAGAATAGCAGTTCTTTTGTTCTTTGGATGCTCTAGAGCTGAGCTGAGCAAAATCTGATTTACTCAGATTTAAGGCTAAATCATACATTTCCTGCAGGAGTCCCACAGCAGTATTCTATTTTTTCAGGTGCAGTAATTTTTTTATTAGTATTATTTTATGTTATTATTCAGTCTGCTGACATTTAAGGAAATGATGTTCAATATCCCCATTGTGTATAAAGTCTTTCCCTTTCCAGCAAATGTTATCTATTTTTTTTTTTACCTTAATCTCCATGAGTTAGGATAGTGCTGTGTTCCACCAGGCTTCGTACCTTCTTGGTCAATACTTTTTGGCTGTAAGAAAGAAGGGATGGAATTGAGTTTGTGATCTTGGTGATTTTCTCCTTCAGATTAATGCTTTTAAATCAATTATAAAAGATCAAATAGAACATAAACAGACAACTTGTTTTTAGAAATGACAGGAAACTTCCTGGAAAAAAAAATCCCCTAAAATACAGGTATTTGAGAAACCAATAAACTGAGGGCCTCCTGGGGTCAGCAGCAATATTTCAGAAAAGGAAAGACAGCTGGAACACTAGTGTAACTAAATGCCAGAATTGAATGAAAAGATGCCAAACCTCTGCAAATGGCAAGGAAACAAGGGTCACTTTGCACTTACCACTTTAATGATAGCAGAATCATGCTCCAGAATTGCTACCTGCCATGAGAAGGGAAGTTTTGATTCAAATGTTTCTTTTTCTCTCTCTCTCGTTCTCTCTCTCTTTTTTTTTTTTTTTTTTAATGTTGAAATATACTATCTGCTATTGTCAGGTTTGCTGTTTTGGCAACTTTTTATGTTATTTACACAACACCATAGTTGCTTTGACTCCTGAGCAAGAGCTTGGGAAAGAAGAAAACACTGTCCTCAGTGGCCCTTGGCTCGTGCCCCAGGAAACATTTCTGCGCTGTTTGCTTCTGAAGGAGGCAGAACGGTTAAATTCTCTGATTTCCTCAAATGAGCCATATCACAGAAGCCAGAACTAGCGATTTTCTGATCATTCCCTGAAGCACTAAAGCTTTAGTTAACCGCCTGTGTTGGGAGAGGTGCCAGGTTGAAAGCGTTTCTCTCTAAATCGGTTGTTGGTGAGTTGGGAATTCATTTCTTGTCTTTTTTTTTTTTTCCGGGTTAGTCATTATTTATAAAAGATCTCTGCAGTCTTTCAATACCCCTGAGAATTACGGGTAGTGACTGAAGTATACTATCATTTTTCTCCTAATTTTTTTTTAATACTTCTGGGAATTCTGAGATTCCTTGTGAGAGCCAGAGATTTCAGCCCGAGCTCTGCTACTCCGGTACACCCAGACCCCATATAGGGACGTATATATTGAACTTCTGTGTGTTGATCCACCCCAGCAAATCCTCCTCTGTTGAAAGCAGTGTTCCTGAAGTGTCCTCCCCATGCTACCCTGCACCCAGCACTGCCCAGTTTTGTTCCCTGCACTTCACACACACACTCTGCAAATGGTCCCCAGCAGCATTGTTGACCAGGAATCCCATAACACAGTTTTAACCATCACTAACCAGGTTGAAGGGGTGGAAGCATCGCCTCCTGTGAGCTTCTCTTGCCATGGCAGTGCAGGAGGAGAGGACAGAGGATTCTCTTAGGCAAAGGGAGACTTGCAGCAGGATTCATTTACTGCCTGTACTCTCTTGCGTCTCCCAGTTTGATTGCAATGATAAAACCACATGAAAATGGAAATCCAATTGTGATGATAATAGTCACACAGGTGAAATGGCAGATGAAATGGAGAGCAAAGGCAAGAGGCTGAGCAGTGTCAAGCATGTCCAAAGAGATCCTGAACTCAGTCAGCTTTCTCTCCAAAGAAGCCCCTGTGGATATTGGGATCTTCAGCGTTTTTAAGGGACATCTTATGAGGCTTCCAAAGGTCCAGATGCACTTAGTAGTACAAATACACAGGAATGGAAACCTGGTGAGGGCTAGCCTGCGATGTGACACTGAAGTGATTGGGTTAGGGCATGGGAGTTATGGGACATTTCACCAGGAACCCACTTCCAAGGAAGCAAACAAGTGACAACAACAATAAATGCGAGATTACGAGGGGTGAATTGACATGACAGCAATAAATGAGATGTGCTGAAATGGCTGGATATGATTCAGGAAGGGGCTTTGCAAGAACCAGGCAGTTCAGAGAGAGATTTCTGTGCGGAGGCGAGGGGTGACTGCTTTTTGCCAGCCCTGCTCACTAGAGCAGCAAGCTGCATAGAGGCTCTGTGGCGACGAGGGCTCCCTGGCCTTTGGGAGCTCCCTGCCTCAATTCTTTGCAACAGAACCTGGGAAGAATGCAAAATGCCAGTACACTGAAAACTCTGCTAATACCTCATCAGAGTTCAGGCAAGAGAAGGGGAGAGTTCAGCAAAGAAGAGAGAGGCAGGGAGGACGTTTGCAAAGAGGTCTCCTCCAGGACTGCCTTGGAGCCATCTCTGGTGGCTTCACCTTCACAGGTGCTGGAGCAGGCACCAGGGGCATTGGTGCCTGATGCCATCCAAACTTCTTGGAGACATGCCACATATCCACCTCATCCTGCCTATTCAGCGGGACATGGGTTGCCTATAGGGCAATTTAGAACTGTTATTAGATTACAGAGCTGGGTGGCCTGAGCTAATGCAGTTTCTCTCCTCTTCTGTTCCTCAAGTGCACTAAGTAGACAGAGCTAGACCACTCCAAAGTAAAATAAATTAATGTATGCCACACAATTCCTGGAATTGGAAGCCATTCGGGTAAGAGAACACAGTAGATAAAAACGATGGCAGATGTGCCAACCAGCAGAGTGATAATCTTTCACATTCTGTTTTCTGCTTGAATTCCCTGAAAGGGTTAAACCAGCAGGGCAGCAACAACTCTGCTGACTCTCAAAGGGCCTTTGATAAGGTCCAGCACAAGAGGCTATTGAGAAACTTGGCAGTCCAGGGGTGGAAGGTAAAGTCCTGTCATGGATTAAAAACTGGAAAAGAGATAAGAGGCAAAGAGTGGGAATCACCGGCCAATTTTCAGCTTCAAAAGAGATTAATAGTGGGTAGCTCCAAGGACAAGATTTCAGACTGGAGATGTGTTTACTTACCACTGGTCAGGAAAATGCACTCTTGCTTCAAAATGTTTGGGATAATCAAGCCTAAGAAGGTTTCACACACCCCTAAAGAAAACCTGACTTGGAGTCCAGGTCTGCCAGGGATTAGTATCACTCAACATGCCTGAAGAGGCACAAAGAGAGTAAAAGACAAGTTAGTGTGAGAGGCAAAGACTTGCCAGTCACAGGCTATGGCAAATACAGGTTAACACTGAGAAGATAGAATGAACACTTATTAACCCATTGCCATGGATGGCATAGCTAACGCAGGGGACAATAACTAGAAAGCAAAAAGTGAAAAAGGGAGAATGAAAGTCCTGAATGTACCACATTTTGGTTAACTACACAGTCACCCACATAACCTGGTACATGCCAGTGGATAGGAGTGAGGCAAGAATGATGCCTTTAGATTAATATGAGTAGCCTGCATAGTTGTAGATAAACTACAAGATTGGTCCAGCCTCTTGCTCCAAAATACAATAAAATCTCTGCCTGGACTTGCAAGAGGTGCTAATATAGTTATGTTTTTCTTCTGGGAATATCTGTCATTGGAGAAAAGTTTTGCAGAGATCATTGCTTTTTCTAAAATTGGATAAAAATAATAGAAAATTCAATTTTACTTTCTGCACAGGGATTTAGCAACACTTGGCATACATTAGTAGCTGATACATCATGTCTTCCCTTGTATCATTGATAATAAACCTTTTCGTCTCCATTTGACTTGGAATATCAGTGCAGTAAAGACGTTCTACTACAAAATCGATATTAACTTTGGAGGAGAGTTACTTTACTTAAACACCTATTTTGGTGTGGAATGACGCGTGTGCCCATGGCGCTCTCTTCCTGTTCTCAACAGATGATGTCTTCATAAGTAGTTAAGACTAACTTTATCTTTTAAAAGGTCAGAGCATTTTTGTGGAATCCCTTCCCTAGTGAGTTAGTGCCAGAACCAGAAATAGCCCCCCAAACTCCTGACTCTCACTCTGATATTCAAGTGCAAGAGTTCACAAGTGTGCTTGAAGATGCCAAATACTTTGGACAAATTCTTGAACTGGCATGACCGGGTGAGATAACAAACTCCCTAAAGGAAGATGTGGAAATGAATATGCCCTAGTTACGTTTTTTCAGATGTTAAAGAAATACAGTTGGGAGTAGTTTCTTGGGATGAAAAGTGAAGAGAATTTCAGCCTACTTTTCATCTACACAGCATCTTTTTAGGATTCCCTGTTGCATGACATTCCCTCAGGAATTTATGTTATTTCGTCTGCCCTTCCTTCTGTTTTCTGTGTCTCCTCATTTGTGTTTCTTTGAAAGGGCTTACAGAAAGGGAATAAAGCAGAATGGACACAACAATCAATAGAAAGATTGTTTCTTTCCCAGAGAGGGCTCCTCTCTGGATGTCATTAAAGTATTTGGAAAGATCATAGATTCCCTTGATGACAACATTTTGAGTTAATTAGGTGCACAAAGTCAGGTAATTAGGTGAATGCAAAGAGGCAAAAATTTAGTTTCGCTGTTATAAGAAATCTGAGACAAATTAGTTGCTTATTAGATCAGATAGATTTCCTTGTGGATTCAAGTCTTCTAGCAATTAGTATTACTCAAGCTGCAAAAATTTGATAAATAGCAAGAATACTTATTCATGTAGCATCAATTGGTGTTCTGAAGATTAATAAGATAGTGTCAGAGGGGCTGGGCTCACTTTCTGACACATATATCACAAATCTTCCTGTCATTTTTGTATCATAAGGGGATGCTAAAAATGTCCTCTGCAGTTGCCTGAGACTTCCCCTTAGCTGCAGAGCCGAATTACTTATGCAGGGTACAACTAACCACTAGAGATTTCCATCATCACCATCAGCATGAGTTTTTCTCAAGCACTTTGTCTCTCTGAGGTCGATTGGAAAACCTCGGAATTCAAGGAGAGTGAAGTTAAGTTAGAACCTGCTAATAATGTTCCCTTCCTCCTCTGCCTTCAACGCTCTCCAGCCGGCTTGTGGAGCTGAGCAATTACAGCCTGGGCTCCGTGCAGGCATCCCAATGAGTAGGATCAGCATGCATAAAGCAGGCTGGAGAACTGGATCATCCCAAGGTGCAGCCGGAAAAGTTCAGTCGTGACCTGAATGTGAATGGGCACCACCACATACCAGCTGTCTCATTCTTATCATAAAGTGGCAGATTCAAGTGGCAGATTTAGCAACTCACCACCTAATGAACTCAGGGTGAGCAGCTAAAGCACTGGACTGAAGCCCAAATTAGGGGTCTTATTCCCTGGCTCCCTTTGTAGTCAGAGGAGAGATAGGCTTGTGTGCGTGGTCGTTACAAAATCATAAGGAACAGTGCCAAAAGGTTTTCTAGTGCATTCTCCTGCTCAAAGCCAGAGTCAAAGTCACCTAACATGTTACTGACAGCTGGCTGTTGATCCTGCTCTTAAAACCTTCCTGTGATGGAGGTTTCATCACCTCCTCGAATGGTCTGCTCCCAGTAGAAAAAAAAAAATCTGTTGTTTACAAATCTCCAGTCTAAATCTCCCCAAGTCAAACCCAAGATTTCCTGCCTATCAGTCATGGGCCAGAGTCCCCAAGCCAGGAGTCAAAGCAGTGTCTTGGCTGTATGTATCAAGACACCCCCATACCATCACCATGAACCTTGAGCTTTCAGAGCCGCTGTAAACAAGCCCTTGTGCATCTCGTTGGGACACCTGCTCTCTTTCTCTGTCTCTGCCCCAAATCAACAACTCCACATGAGCGGAGGGTGCATGCCTCAACCACCACAGTGCCGGAGCTGGCATAATTTACCTTCCATGCATGTGAGGAAGGGGCACACCTGAGGCTAGTGCTTGGGCTGGAGAACATGGCTGCTGACGGTTACACCTTTGGGCATCCTCGGAAGTCACCGGTGTTCACCTGCTGTGGGCTGTGCATGGCTTCAGGGAGGTTTCTACATGAGGTGGGATCACCCAGGGCTGTTGGTGGACCACAAATTGACCATGAGCCAGCAGTGCGTACTTGTGTCCAAGAAGGTCAACGCTATCGTGGTGCATTAGAAAGAGTATTGCCAGCAGGTTGAGGGAGGTGATCCTCCCCTCTACTCAACCCTGGTGAGGCCAGGGAGTGCTGGGTCCAGCTCTGGGTTACCCAATACAAGAGAAACATGGATCAAGTCCAGCAAAGGGCTTCTAAGATGATCAAGGGACTGGAGCATCTCTCATGAGGAAAGGTGGAGAGAGCTGGGACTTGGGATTCTTCAGGCAGAAGAGAAGACGTGTATAAGTACCTGAAGGGAGGATGTAAAGAGGATGAAGCCAGACAATTTTCAGTGGTAGCCAGCAACAGGACAAGAGACAAAGGGCAAAAAGTGAAGCACAGGAAGTTCTGTCTAAACATGAGGAAAATCTCCCAGGGAGATTGTGGAATCCCCATCCTCGTAGATATTGAAAGGCTCTCCAGGCAGGATCACAGGCAATGTTCTCTAGGTGACCCTGCTTAAGCAGGGGCATTGGACTAGATGATCTCCAGAAGCAGACCTCTGTCTCTTCCAAACTCAACCACTCTGTGACTCTGTGGATGTCAGCAATAACTGTGCCTTTAAGCAGCATATGATCCCTGATAATCCGCCTGCTTGTGTGGTTACTTTCCTGAGGCTCTGCACCAGTTTGCAGTGTTGATTCCTCAGCACAGGACCAGCCAGGTTGTGTTTGCTAGATGCAAATAGGAGATTGTTTTTCAAAGGTGATGTTTGCACAGAAAAGTCAAACTTTGCAATTTCAGGTCCTTTTAGGGAGCAGAAAGAATAAGGCTGATCTATGAGGAAGAATGAGCTGACAGCAACCACATCTCCAGCAGGGGTGTCAAAACCAAGGCAGGGTTGGTGAGAGTCTTCATCAGAAAAGACAAAACAATGAGTCCAGTCTGACGT